TGGCACTAATCTTCGGTGATGATTGAATATAATTTAGTTACATTTTAAAAAAAAAACAGCAAGTTTAGGTGCATTATGTATACCCTTATGTGGCGTAAAATGCATTTCCGCATCACTAGAGGAAGTTGACTTTAGCTGTTCCACGATTTGTGTGTTTAAGTTTATGACATCAGACTACTGCTGGCAAAATCTATTATTCATAGGATTCAGACAATAAATTTTCGTGCGATGCTGATCGAAGAAGCTGAAACAGCGCCGCCACGCGTCAGGGGATATAACTGCATCTATAAGCTCAATTCGTGTATCCCACAGAATCCCTAACTCGGCTATACACTGTGCAGACGGAGCAAAACCATAATAAAATTTGCCACGACCACCCAACACAACGCATAATTTTCAAGTATAACGTAAACATTTTGTGCCAGAAACGACTATACGATATTGATTGTATTGAATGAAAGACACTATAGGAAGAAGGCTTTGGATAATATAATTTCGATTTCAGTTCGAAGATGGTTAATTCACTAGTGCAGTGCGCCATTAATTCACTAGTTACTAGTTTGTTATTACGCACTGTCTAAGGCAGACTCTCGACTCTTCTATCAAACGTGTATTATCAAGGTACAGGCATATTTCTCTTAAGTATCAGCTAAGTTATAATAATGTATATGAGGGACTGTATATATTGCCTGTCTTGTTCATTGAAATTTGTAATTTTTGTACGCAAACTCTTTCAATTCAGGGAGTCTCATCCCTGCTGTAAGGTTTGCTTTTTGTGTCACAAAAACAATCAAAATTTGCATCTTCTTTTCCACCGCGCGGCAGAACATTCAGATCGCAGTCTAAATAATGGAGGGCAGGTTACTCTTGATTAATAGCTCTTTTATAGCTAGTAATAAATAAACTAGAGTACATCGATGTGAGTGATTTGGGCCAATTTGGGTAGCAAAGTAGATATTAAAATAAAGACGTTTGGAAAATAAATTTAGGGCGTAGTCCATTGATTTGTAAGGAGCTCTAGGCCAGAGTGAATACATGCACTGCGCTATATGATAGGGCAAGGGAAAGGGAGACGGTTGAATCAAATATTAAAGACATCCAGTGCAGTTTTTAGGGCTTGGAAACCCGATTTTTCAAAGTCAATATTCTAGTCATTTACGTATCTACATACTGAATTGAAACCACACTATCCCAATATATATTGACCCTGAAGAAGCAAGCATAACCAAAAATCTGAATGAAAATGGTTACTGGAAGGACTCTGGGATGATTTTTAGGGTACCACCCATAAAATAAATGACTCATTTTGGGGCTTGTTTCTGCAGTTTGAAATACCCCAAGTTTGAAATGATGACTCAAATGTGAGTCAATATGTGTCGGTATCATAAAGATTGCCTTATTCAGAATATTTCCAGGTTTGCTGCTCTGAAATCGCCTTTAAAGATGGACTTCCTTATCTGCTGTATAGAAACAGATAGGGGTACTTTTCGGGACATCTCCTGTATCAAAGACCTGGCTGTGGTCCAAGGCGCGGCCCGGCAAGCTATCTTCATGAACGCAGGCAACCGTAACGCCATGTTTAATTCATGACAATAATGTATTGATTTAGGTTACGTTTGATGCCATCACGAGCATACATATATATAGCGGGTCGTAAGGAGGAAGATGATAAAGTGAACTAAATTGTATCTCCTGAACGATATCAGATGCACCTGAATGTATAATTGAGGTTATAAAAATAGCGGGTTCGCTTAAAGGGCGTTTTGAGCATCTGCTGTGCATAGTGATGCGCTGGGATTCCCATATAGCCTCCGTACTAGGTCTGTATTCATGGGGCGGAACTATGAGCTATTTACATTCCAAACTTCGTGGTCCAAGCATGTTTAGATCATGAGATATGAAAATCGAAAGTTCTGCTGCACACAGCCTCCGTACTATGTCTGTACTCATGGGGTGGAACCAGACTGGGCAGATCCCATTTTTTGGTCGGTTTTTTTTTCATTCGCCCGCGCGCACTAGTTTGGGGGTCTTTAAAGGATGCCATCCATAAAATTAAGTCTGTGTGGCCTATAGATAGGTCTGTACTCATGGTGCGGAACCAGACTGGGAGATCCCGGCATATTGAATCTGTGACCTCATCCCCGGGCTGGGCAGCGGAAGATCGTGTCTAAATTGCCTCGTAAACTCCCTCCGGACGACTCGCTTTGTTTCAGGAATTCTGACGAGTTTGGAACTTTCCGATTTTTCTGCAGACCGAGGGAAAATTTATACCGCGAAAGTTGGTTAGGAACAAACAGGTCGGGCATTATAACTACACCAGGCGCTGACCCAGATTGTTGAGATAGCGATTCGCTACGTGAGATGCATATTTGGCCACCGAATGTACCGGTAAAACTATCCGCTGAAGTCTCAAAGTACAGTGTTAGCAGCGCGCTTTCCCTGTCCTTGGTGCTGAAATCTGGGTGTGGTTAAACTTGTATAGCATACATATGTGCTGACCAATTGTACTTGTGTTCTCTAAGTAATGGATACGTTTGATTAGGCCATTATCTAGTATATCTGCATTCTCATAGATAGCCCAGTGTGCTTTCCCTGTCCTTGGTGCTGAAATCTGGGCGTGGTTAAAGTTAAACTTGTACAGTATAAATATGTGCTCAATATGAGCCTGCTCACCAATTGTCTTGTGCTCTCTATGTAATAGATACGTTTTGTTCAGGCAATCATCTAATACATTTGCCTTGTCATAGATCGTCGATACCAATAACTTACTTAGGGCCACTGTAAGAAAATACCGAATTGTACAGCATTTAGGTTGAATCAGCTACAAAAAGGGGTGCACGAGTTCTTTGGTGGAAAGCGCACTATGTGGTAACACAACATTTGGGTAGTTTTGTAAAAATAAAACAGACGGTCCACAGCTGCTTAGTACAGATAAAATCTGTAAAAAGGCAGGACTCACGAATTGAAAGCGTTGCTTTTCCCCTGGGTTTTATGTAAAAACGACGAAGAAAATCGATCCCACTCAGTTATCCAAGGACAGCAGCAAAACCCTTAGGTAGGTTTGTAAAAAAAAAAGAAGGTCTTCAGCTGCTTAGTACTGATAAAAACTTGTAAAAAGGCAAGATCCATAAACTTAAAGCGTGGCTTTTCCCCTGGGGTTTATGTAAAAACGATGAACGAAAATCGATCCCACTCAGTAACCCAAGGACAGTAGCGAAGTGGATAAGCTGCGGAGGTACTGGGAGGTAGTTATTTCAAGGACAGGCAGACATATCATCTGCTGTGGTCTGTAGGGCCTAGGGAAAAATATGTTGTGTTTCCTGTTTCAGTCCTGAAAAAATTAGGGTCGGTAGGTAGGGATCATCTTTTTTATTGTTCCTTTTTTTTAGTACTTTGGTATCTCTATATAGGGATCAACTTATACAATACAGTTTGTACAAATAAAATTTGAATGAGGACACGTGTATAGATTGGTTTATTCTTTCGATTCATAACAATACACTTATCGTTTCAATTTCAATGATGAAAACCGATTGTTCAACATTTTATCACTAAGGCGTTAGATCATGGACCTAGCTATAGATTATATTAGAACAGGTCAATATGGTCGAAAATGTATGTCCCTTGTGCAGGGGTCCACACACAAGAAAAGTCTAGGGTCGGCAGTTTTTTCTAGGGTCGGACAGGAAACAGGAAACACAACATTGTTTTCCTAGGCCTGATCACTCGCTGTGGTACACAGGACATAATCACCTGACGTGGTCTGCTAGTTTCTGGACCAGCGAGATAAATTTCAGCCGTTATCTTTATTCCATAACTCCAAATGTACAAATGCAGTATGGACTGTATCTGTGAACTACAAATTAGACCAAGCTGCTGAGGTACTGGGAGGTAGTTATACTTCAAGGACAGACACACATGTAATCATCCGCTGAAAAAAAAGAAAAAGAAAGATAATCCCTACCTACCGATCCTAATTTTTTCACGACTGAAACAGGAAACACAACATTGTTTTTCCTAGGTCTAAGCTGCTGAGGTACTGGGAAGTAGTTATACTTCAAGGACAGACAAACATGTAATCATCTGTTCTGGTCTGCAGGTTTGGGCCGAAGAGATAAGTTTGAGCCGTTATCTGCGAACTACAAATTAGACAGTCTCCCAATATCTACTAGTTACAGAAGACGCCATGTTGATTCCATTTCAAGGTCATTAACTTTGCCCTTAGTGGTTTCAGTGTCTGTGAGGTTACCGGAAACACTGCTGGAATACAGATGAGGGTTTGTTTCTAGGGTCGGTTGGCAAACAGGAATTACAACATTTTTCCTCTGCCCTGGAATTCCCCGACATGCTGAATACTAGACCTGTATTCATGGGCTATTTTCCATCCAAAATTCGTGGTCCAAGCATGTTAAGATCGTGAGATATTAAAACCGAACGTTCTGCTGCCGTACCAACGAAAGCCGCCAGAGGGCCCAAAATCTAATTATTTCTAGTAGGTCTTATCAAGACCTACCCACCTACCAAGTTTCATGACAATGCATATAAAACACTGCTGGAATACAGATGAGGGTCCCGGGAGACATGATGCTGTAAAGGGCCTTCAGAAAGGGCATCAAATGAGGCACGGAGGGGACGTTAAGAGATGGGCACGCTCCAAAGCGGGGAACCAAAAACTTTAGTGTTAGACACTAACGTTTTACACCCAGATACAAACTGTAAAATTTTGACAACTACCCAAACTTACGTTATTGATACTAAACTGTTATTGTATTCTTGTCATGTGCTTCCCTTTTGTCGCGGGTTGGGATGTGTACAACATTGATGGTTGCCGCTAACTTTACTGCAACACCTCAGCGACTGATAAATATAAAATACCGAAAATGATTCCACATGTTAAACACAGTACCTTTCACAAAGATAGGGGCACTGTTTCCTTTTTGTGTTCAGTTGTTATTGAAAAGGAATAATGTACACCCTCTGATGTACTATGCCCCCGTCAGCAGGCTGACGACGAGAAGACGCCGAAGCTGGAGCGGAACTGGTCGCTGACGGAAGACATTTTCCCTTAGTACCTTACCCAGACATAGGGCGTTACTTCTAAGTTTTGTGTTTAAGTACACATGTACACCCTCTGATGTTTGTATTGTCTCCCCGTCAGCAGGCTGAGGACGAGAAGACCCCGAAGCTGGAGCGGAATTGGTCGCTGACGGAAGACATCCTCCAGGGTTTCCGGGACCTGCTGGGAACCGGAGACATTTTCCCGGAGTTGGACGAACCCGAGAGTTCACAGGTCAACAGGCAGCAGTCACACGAGGAGTTAGGTAAGTGTGAGAGAGAAGGAACTTCTTTTCACAGATAAAGGCCTTTATAAAATGAATACTTACAAAAATGATATTGAAATAGAGGTCTTCTGAATTCAGTCTGGCATTGCTTTCATAAATAAACTTTAAAGCACAATTGTTGTACAAAGTATGGCAACTTCTGGTACATAACTAGAGTTCCATAAGGCTAATTTACCTAACACAAGAGTGAGTAGTGTGGGATGAGAATGTATGGTATGAAAATGGGATTTTACAACCATTAGAGGAATTTCTAACGTCTAGACATTATTTGATACATTTTCATGCATAGTTTTGAATATTTTGTTTCCTGCCAGAGACATGAGTACCCAACGTTTGTTTTATCTCACTTTTTTGTCACAGTCAAGGCTGACGAAGAAGCGCAGCACTACCTTCCACCTGTTCTCTTTGACAAACCCAAAACACCCACGGTGCAGAAACCCCCGATTTCTGAGCCAACACAGGAGGATGCAACGTCTACTTCCACGAGTATTCAGACGCCAAGTAAAAACCTGAACAATTCTTCCACTGATGTGACTGATGGTAGGAAAATAGCCATAACATTGGGTGATGAAACTGCGGACACCTCTGCCGACCAAGGCACTGTAGTAGCTAGTAAAGAAACACCCGTACTAAAGCCTGAAGAAAAGACTTCGCTTGTGGGCGAAACCGCGGAATCCAATGCTGCTAAGCAACTAAAGCAATCCGAGCACATCCATGAGCGACCGACGTCTCTGACGCTACAGAAGGAAGTGAACTCTGCCGAGTACAGGGAGGGGAGAGGGAAGGCCATGGAGGAGCAGGAGGAGCAGGAACAAGGTATAGGAATGGTTTATTATAATACTTTAAAATCAATACTTTATTATGTGGGGTCGTGTGGCGTAGCGGCAGAGTGCTCGACTCGGAACCAAGAGGTCCCGGGTTCGAGTCCTGACATGCCACCGATCTGGTGCCCTTGGGAAAGATACTTTACACGACTTTTCTCACTTCGCTCAGGTGAAAATGAGTACTGTATTGTCCCCTGTATTGGTGTAATATAAGATTATAACATTAATATAAGTTGAAATAAACTTGAGTGTGCCGTCACCACGTCTTGTGATTAGATGTTGGAAATAACAAAAATGAGCAAAAATGTACAATAATGGTCTTTCTCATTGTTTTTGCCCAAAAGGTGCCAAAAAGGAGCCTGCTCGGCAGGACCGGATGCGGAGCCCGCTGGGTGCGGGGGTGATCCACGGCGTGGTCGCGCCGGGACAGAAGGGTCTGTCCAAGGAGCAGCGGCAGGAACTCATCCACAAACACACGGTGGAGAGGGTCGCGCCGGGCGGGAAACATCACCAGAAGGTCACCAAGACCAGGACACACGGCAGCAACGTGCAGGTTCGGTCTGGTTCATGGTTTATGAATGAATGAATGAATGAATGAGCGAATGAATGAATGAATGAACGAGTGAATGAATGAATGAATGAATGAATGAATGAATGAATGAATGAATGAATGAATGAATGAATGAATGAATGAATGAATGAATGAATGAATGAATGAATGAATGAATGAATGAATGAATGAATGAATGAATGAGTGAAACAGTGAGAGTGGAAGTTTTATTTTACCACCATGAAGAGAGGGGCTGATTTTTGTCTTTCTGTCCTTCAGGAGCTGAAAGAGTACCTCTCCGGGTCTCCCAAACCGGCAAAAAAGGCTGATCAGAGGCAGGAGCGGAAGGAAAAGGTGGTCAAGTCACTAAAGGACCCCAAATCTCTCACGTTGGACCTTTCTCAGGCAAAAAAGACCAAAGTAGTCGCTGCCCCCGCTCCAGTACCCGTTCCCGCTCCCCAACACGAACCACCGCCACCGGAACCAACGAGCAAGCCCCAGCGAGTGGCCATCGGGATCTCACCAACCGAAGCCACGGAGGCTACCACCACCGAGGAGGACCAGGGTAAGGAGAAGCAGTGGTACGAAGCGGACGAGTACGTAAAATCTGCGAAGGCCCAGGAGGACCTGCGGAGGGAGCTGCAGTCGCTGCGGCGGGAACCCGCGGCCAGCCTGGCGCTCGCTATCGTGGAGAAGAAGGAGGTTTGTTTGTTTGTTTGTTTGTTTGTTTGTTTATTTATGAATCTCCCATTAGTGATAATATGTACATCACTATTCTTCCTGGAGTCCTATACAACATAAACATACAACTTGTTGTTTCGTCATTGTCATACCTGTAATTTGTATTCTATGTCAGGGTTGTGATTAATATTAGCTTCGGCTAGAGTTTCCACCTCTGTGTCTTGAACCATGTCTTGTACTTTGTTGTTTCAATAAATAGAAAAAAAATTAAAAAAATACAACTATTATTTACATTTACGTTCAACTGCTATCATTGACATTATGCTACAGGAAAACTTATCTTACCAACATAGTAAATTTTAAGCATCAATTATTACAGCAATATTCCCTCCTCGATGTGGATCCGCTGGGGAAGACGGATGCCCAAGTGTGTGGGTCTCAGATTCACAACCTGTTATCCACCTTAAACAAATCCACGCGAAGGCCGCCGTGTCAACTGTAACCCTCACTCAGGTGTAGGGACTGACACGGTCATCCTACTCGGAAAATCTGTATATCTGTACATGAATCTGTATCTGATTGCAAATAAAGATTTCGAGCGATTGCCATATTCCCTCCCCCCAGGAGAAGATGCCTGACGGAGCGGAGGCAGAGGACATCGCCGAGACACCTTCTTCTGCCGACAGCGACTCTGACGACTCGAAGTCTTCGCTAAAGAAGTCCAAAGCGAGATCCAATCTCAGTGCCATTCTCTCCCCCATCGACGATAAAGATGCTCCCCCCGAAGACGATCTAGAGGAGGACGATGACAGGCCGAAGAGTAAAGCTGAGCAGCAGGCTGAGCTCCGCGCTATCCGCCGGCAGCGTCCCAGGACCCCGCCCGGCAGCTGCCTGTCTCCCATAGAGGACTTCTCCCCGCCCTACGAGCACGCTAAACCCATCCTCTCCGTCTCCACAACGCCGCCGTACCACTCCAGGCTTCCGCAGGAGATTCCCAAAATCATCGTCACCCAGAGGGTTAGCCCCGAGCAGAGCCCTCCGGAAAAGCTACAGGACGAGTTCAGGGAAGAAAAAGACGCTCAGCCTCCTACTGTAGTAGCCGCGCCTACCGTACAGACGGAAAAGAAACCAGAAAGCGTTACTGATGCGAAACAGGTTCTCCAGTCAAAGAAACGTGAGAGCGTGGAGAAGGGAAGTAAGGAGCCCGCAGCGCACTTCGTGTTCGATCGGCCCGAGCGAGACAGCAGCCAGAGGACTATCATGGTGAAATCAAAATCAGGCGATTTTCCTCCCAGATCGGCGGCTGACGTCACGTCATCTCGCCCCGACAGCCAATCAGCGAAGCGGGACGGTTCCGCGGCGGTAGAGCCGGCTTCGGTGACGTCTCCTACACAGATGTCGTCTGCGGCGCACGCCAAGGTAAGGACTTACCTACACATTCCTGCTGTCTGGCATGGGTAAGCTTTCGCGGTAGATTGGGGTAGAACGCCTGGTGGTAATGGCTTTTACGTGTGATTGATGTTAGAACACTTGACAGTTTGGAAGTGAAATACGTTGTTCTAGAGAAGTACAGCTATAGGACTGGGAATAAAGAAAGCGATTAAGTCCACACATATCAGAGCTAATTAGCGATGTTGATGAGATGTGACTACCAATGACAGTTCGTTAGCCCTGACTTAAGGTTCGCAGGCACGCGGCCTTGCATGTACATTGTATAGCCATGCATGATTGTGAACATCAGGAATGGCGTTACGTGATATTCTACATTTATCTTTGTCATACAGTAGCGTTCCCGCAAAGAGTAACGTACTGCAAGGTTCACGCGCGCGCGGCCTTGCATGTACATTGTATAGCCATGCATGATTGTGAACATCAGGAATGGCTTGTGCTGCAGGTGATACACCGACATTGCATGAAGGTTCACATTTGTCTTGACGTTCCCGCTAAAAAGACTTCCCTACGCACACAACTCGTGTCGTTTAGACGAGTACAGCTAAGGGCTGATTATGAAGCATCATTCCTTAGCGATGTTGATAAGATAGACATATAGAAACAACGACAGCCTGGCATGGGTCGCGCTGTCATGGTAGGAGGCTTAGTGGCGATGGATTTTACGTGTAATTCCGATGTCGGAACACTGACTTATTTGGCTACTAGAGTATTAACCCACTGCAAGGTTCGGTCGCGCGCGGCCTTGTAGTCTTGTATAATTGTGCAAAGGGGGATAGCCCGTGATGCAGGTAATACACCGGCTTGATACATTTATCTTGGCCATACAACAGCGTTCGCGCAAACGGTAACCTACTGCAAGGTTCGCTATGCAGCCATGTATAATTGTGCACAGGGGGATAGCTTGTGCTGCAGGTAATACATTGACCTTACATGAGGTTCTACATCTGTCTTGACATTCCCGCTAAAAAGATGTTCTACCTTTATCTTGGCGTTCCCACAAAGAGTAACCTACTGCAAGGTTCGCATACGCGTGGCCGTGTAGTCATGTATTATTGTGAATATCATGGATAGCTTGAGCTGCAGGCAACTTACATGATGTTCATCTGTCTTGACACTCCCGCTAAAAAGACTGCCCCCCGCACACAACCCGTGTTTCCACAGATAAGGCTAACAACCTCGCCAAGACGCTCCATCAATCCGCCTGTATCATAAAGAAGCGTCCGTCTATAGTCCGATATCGCTCACTCACTCACTGCGCCGAGCTCGCTCGAAGTCTCCCCATGTTTCCATTTCTCTCTATCTCCCATCGTAGCAGGCAGTTGACTTAGAGTCATTCCACTGTCAGCCTCTAGCTGCTTACTGTAAGTCAAATGTGGTCTTCCGCGACTTCTGTTTCCATGACTCGGGTTCCACAGTAAGAGTTTGTGTACTGTATCTGTATCAGTATATCCGGTTTAACCGCCCTTCGGCGTAACACACCAGCTTCGCAGGCACGTGGCGCGGCGGCAGCTAGCTATGTCACACCGAACGACTTGTTACAATCTTAACACATTTGATTGCAGGAGTTGTTTAAAACTTTCTAGTGATGATGCCCTAACTGTGCTTGGTGGCAACGAGTTCCAGTCTACAATAGTTATGGGGAAATACGAGTTTTTGAATACCTCAATTCTTGGTTGATAACTCTGATATTTGAAGGCATCACTGTTTCTTGTAGTATATACCTCGTCCTTTTTCCTCGATCCAACAGTGGCCTACAGTCCACTTATAGTCCGGTATCGCATATCTAATTTAGCCGGTAGCTGAGTCCGATGCCGGCTGTCAGACTACGGGCCGGGCGCGATCCATCAGACTGTGCGGCTGTGTGTGATCTCCGGGCATGGCGAGATTTAGGGCTCGACAAGATTCATAGTGACTCACACAATCTGCTACATGTACAGGGCTCCAAATTAAAGGTGTATTTTTATCTGTTGATATTAATTTGCACTTGGAAACGTTGTTGACAATATTTCATATACATTTTATGTAATGGTTTATTACTATTTTAATCGCTTAATATGAAGTTTTATACTGTTTACTTGTATGTGATGTCGCGATGTCAATTCAGCCTCTGGCTGCCATTTTTGGGACAGTGTTGTTGTGTTTTAAATGCAAATAAACCATTGATATAAGGTGGTCCGATGGCCTCTGACCGCTAAAATTTAGGCTGGAACAACTAGAAAATAGTAAAATAATCAACATCAGAAGGTCAGCCCTTCTTTTGTTTATCAGGCACATTTCCCGGCTTTTGGATCCGGAAAAGTCCCCCCGAATTCCCTGTCTACACTGCAATTATAGTGCGCCTGGTGGGAGTGGACATAAGGAAAATGATGTTGACTTCAAGTTCAAATCATACAATACCTCTAGAAAAACAGGTTGGGACATTTATTTTCAATTTGGGACTGTGCTGGGACACTAAGACGAAAAGTTAATTTCGAGGCCTGCCGTACAGATTTAAGGCCCGACAAGACCGATATTGACTCCCACAATCTGCTACTCACAGCCGGGACGTTAGTACTCCCAGGGTGCCATGGGCGTTTATGTTAGGGTGTGGCGGTTTTTTACAGCTATAATAACACGCCAGAGGGACTGGATTGCAATAATGTATAGGTATTTTACCTATATGTATCTGTCTACTTCTACAGAAGCTGTCTTGGTTTTTACTTGGTTTAGTTGTACCCCAATGGGTTCAGTTTCTGTATATTTATTTGTCCTTTTTTGTAAAAAAAAAAGCAATAAGGAGCAATAAGGAGAGAGAGAGAGAGAGAGAGAAAGAGAGAGAGAGAGAGAGAGAGAGAGAGAAGAGAGGAGAGAGAGAGAGAGAG